GGGAGGGGGGAAGGATGGGGGGGGGGGGGGGCAACCGGAGAACAGGCTGGGTCAGCTCCCGAGGTCCAGCCCAGCGCAGGAGGGCCTCCCTGGAGGGGTGTGCCCAACACGAGTCAGCAGTTGCCTGCTGCCCCCGGCCTGGCCTGGCCTCTTGGTGCGCTGCCAGGCGCAAGCGACTACAACTCCCGTGGCTCCTCCCTTGGATGAATCCGCATGGAGGGCCCGCCTCCCCTTGGAATGGACAGGTACGCCCTGAACACCTCGACTTCCAGCGCCCCCTCCTCCCACCCAGGAACGTCTCTTAACTTCCCCACCCCCCTTCAGCCTGCGGTTCCTCAACTTCTGACCATAACTGACCCCACATTTTCTGGGGCTGAGACAGCCGTCAAGTGAATTTTGCCCCACTCGACAAACCTTTCTGGCCACTGTTGTTAAGTGAATCGGTCCTTAAGTGAATCTAGCTTCCCTACTCACTCTGTTTATCAGAAGGTTGCCAAAAAAAAAAATGATCACGTGACCCTGGGACATTGCAACGGTCATAAATACGAGTCACCGGACAAGGATTTCAATTTGGACCACAGGGTTGCTGCAACGGTTGTGACAAACGGTCGTAAGTCCCTTTCCTCAATGCCGTTCAAACAGCCACTAAACACACGGTTGTAAGAGGAGGACTAAGTGCAAAGCCCCCAAACTGGAAGCCAAACCAGGCCGGGAGCCGATGCCGCTCAGAGCAAGGCCTTGAACCACACCCGCCAATATCCCTGGTTAGATCCAAACCACAGCGGCCGGCAGTTGCCTCCTGGCCAGCCTGGCAGAGACCCTCCTCGCCAGGCCGGGTCCCCCTGGAGGGAGGGGCTGCTCCACGGGGGGGGGGGGGGGGGACAGGCCCGGCCTTCGTAGGACCCCCGCTCTGCTTACCACCAGGAGAGCAAAAATGGCGCTCAGGCGGCTGCTGTAGGTCAGCGAGAGCTGCTCCATCCGGGCACCTGCCCTTTCCAGGAAGCCGGTGACTGCCCAGGGGTCCACCTGGAGGGGCAGATGAGAGCCTGTCACCTCCACCCTCCAGGTTGGGGCTAGCAGTCCCCGGAACCCTCCCTCGGGCCAAGGCTCACCTGGCATCCCTGCAGGTTCAGGCTCACCAGTCGTGGGCAGGACGTGGCCAGCAGGCAAAGGGCCTCAGTGGTCACCCCGCTGCAGTGGGCCAGGCGCAGGGTGGCCAGGTGCGGGCTGGAAGCGGCCAGAGCCTGCAAAGACAGGGGGGGGGGGTCAGCTGGCAGGTGGAGGGCAGGAAGGGGGCCGGGCAGGACATCCACCTGGCCCCACCCCTCCCCTCCCCACTCACTCACCTGCAGCACTGACGGGACGAGGCTCTTCCAGTGGCTGAGCGTGAAGTCGCGCAGGAGGGAGAACCTGCGGGGCACAGAAGGTCCTCGGGTCGGGTCGGGTCGCGGGGACGGGAAGCGTGGGGGGGGAGGGGGACGCGGGCCCCGTCCTCATCCTCACCTGTGGGCCGCCAGCCACTCCAGGGTGCCCAGGGCCTTCTGCTGCTGCGCGGGGACCCACTTCTGCCCCGGGGCCGCCCAGCAGTGCCCCACCGCCACCCGCTGCCACAGCACCGGCGCCGCCGACGCTCGGCACCACAGCCGGCACACGCGGGCCGCCCTGCGGGGGGAGAGAGAGAGAGAGAGGGGGGGGGGGGGAGAGGCGGGGGGGGGGTCCCGTGGGGCAGCCCCTCCGCCCGCCCCCTCCCGTCCCAAGCTCACCGGCACAGGAAGGGCACCGCGCCCCCCTCGGAGGCCGCCGCCAGCGCGAAGACGCGGACCAGCAGCTCGGCCGGGAGGCGGGAGCCCCAGTCGCCCCCCGGGGACCCCGCGGCCCCCGGCTCGGCCCCGCCGCCCCGCCTCCTGCGCGCCCCCCGCCGCCCCGCCGGGCCCTCCGCCGGCACCAGCAGCAGCAGCGCCGCTTCCTCCGTCTCCTGCACCACGAAGCGCGGCGAGCCCCCCGCCTCCCGCGACCCCCGCCCGCCCGTCCGCCCCGTCCGCCTCCGCCTCCTCTTCGGGCGGGGGGGCGCCGCGCAGGCCTTGCGCCGCATGGCCGCTGGCTCCGCCTCCCCAAAGACCCCCCCCGGGGAGGGGAGGGGCGCGGCGCGGGGGCCGCCGGGAAGGGGCGGGGGGAGGGCCAGGACCCGGCCGGCGCCCCTCCCCCCTCCCCCGCACGCGGCTCCCCCCGCCCCGCCGCTGCAGGTGACGAGGCCGCCCGGGGAGCCCCGCCCGCCGCCTAAAAGGCGATGCTCGGCCCCGCGCGGAGGCTCTCCGGCCGCCGCTCCGCTTTCCGGGCCTGGGCAGGTAAGCGGGCCGGGGGCCGTTCCGGAGCCCCCGCTCCCCGAAGACAGGGAAGCCGAGGGAGGGGCTGGCCAAAGCGGCCGGTCCGGAAACGGGCCTTGAAGAGCCGCCGGAGCCTCCCCGGACCCGGGCGGCGAGCAGGCGCCGGGTTGCGCCGGGTTCCCTGGGCGCAG